GATTTTCAGTACAAATCGGCAATTTCATACTTTAACCCCTATTATTATGAAAGAAGATAAAATTTTCTTAATTGTCAAAAAATGTCTTAATTGTGAATGTTACGACGTTCTAATGATTACTAATTGCATCATTGCCTTCTTTATTCTTAATTTGAATTCTTAATTTGACAGTTGGCCTACTAGTATGGAAATAAATTATTCATACAGGTACCTACATGAGGTACATTTTAATTAGGACACGGGAATTATGTTGAATTAAAAAAAGTCTTCTTTTAGAACAACTTTAAAATATGTCTCATCTTTGTATTTTTAATACATTCATAATTCTAAATTTATTGTATTTATGTATGGATTCATAAAAATTGACAATTCATATGAACCTGTGCCCAGCAGTTAGATGAATAATGGGCAGATGATGATTCTAACGATAAAATTTGGGTTATTTATTGCATAAACGTAACCAACATTCATTCGATAGTCGATAGAATATTTATCGACTGCAATCACTAGCTGCTAGCAAGCGGGCAACACTTTTATGCAATAAACTGTCATTGTACTCCACTTTAAAAAGACAGAGCAAAGGCAATAATCGATTATTCGCTGTGTTTTACAATGGACCATTAAGTTAAGAGAACTCCCAATATCCATATCATAGATCGTAACTCTAAAAAATGTCAAAATCCCGTGTTATATTTAGATGGCGCTGATTGATAGCCTGTAAGTAGTTTACGTTATGTGAATGACCGTGGTATCAATTCATTCCTCTCTAGAGACCCACCACCTAAGCGCCATTCCTGCTTCAGCGTCTTGCCGACGTACGCACGGCCACGGCGCCACGCTAGCGCAGCGTGTATCTGATTTTCGGTAATGTTTAGAGGGTCTACTCCCGTACTCCGTCACAAACATCCCGACATCCGTCCGAAACAATTACTGTCAAATGAGTAATACTCGACTAAATCAAAAGAATGGGAGTAGACCCCCAGTAGTCGCTCACTGACGACGCGCTGGCGTTGCACCGCCGCCACGCGGACACTGGCGCTCGAAAGACGCCTCTTAATATGAAACACAAGTAGGCATTTTTTTTTCTTGTAACATTATTCAAATATTGACCATGAGCTACAGTTATTTTCTGACCTTTGACAATTATGCATAGCAATAGATATTAACTGCCTCCGTGGCCTGCCATGCAAAGGAGTCGGGTTCGATTCCCGGGCCGAGAGAAATATTTGTATGGCCTACATTTATTTCTTTCGTGAGTTTGGGTGAAATTTGTGGTTTTTTATGTGTATGTCCATGGCACCCGCGACACTGCGTTTCCCTAGCGCGGGATTTATTAAGTGTGTGCGTTGTTATTATTATTATATAATAGATTGTATTGTGTTTGACAATAAATCGTTTCCCTAGCGCGGGATTTATTGAGTGTGTGCGTTGTTATTATTATTATATAATAGATTGTATTGTGTTTGACAATAAATTACCACTTGCTAATATGGGTAGATGGCGCTAATCCTAAACAAAATAAAAGAATAATAACAATAACGCAACACATAGCCCTGCACTAGAGACACTCTGTATCACAGGTGCCATGGAAACACATATAGGCAACCACAAATTACACCCAAACTCACGAGAGAAATAAATGTAAGCCGCACAAATATCTCCCCCGGCCCGGGAATCGAACCCGGGACCTCTGCGTGGCAGTCGAGCTTGGTCACTGTTCGGCCACGAAGGCAGTTAATAAGCGGCAGTATCCATAGAAATCTGTAAAATAAGCGCCATCTAGTGATTTGTTTGTTATCACAAGAAATTGGAGTGGCTTTGATAAATTGGCGCTCGTCAATGTAAAACAAATTAGTTACAAAAATTGCTTTTGGTATTTGTCGCGACATCTGAGTACGTAATCTTGTATTGCGATTAGCAACCCTCTTGAGTTAATGGTACATGGTTTTACTAAAAAGCCTACAATATTGCAAACTACCAGCATTCGCTTAAAAAAAACAAAATACCGGCATTCCTGCCGCAACTGCCGCATCAACACCTGTTGGCGAATCTTCAAATACAAGGCACTGAAAAAAGGGAAAGTAAATATAACATCAAGGGTCTTACTAAAAAAGCTTTCGTATTAAGTTCACTTTCGCGGCAACACGCAGTGCCGTTTCTATGCAATATCGAACAATCGCGGTAACAACATTGTCAAATTAGTTATCATTTATTTAATGCCTCAGCAACAGATAAGCTCGCTTCGAAGATTAAAGCGAACATAATGGACACACAACACATGAATGCCGCTGGAGTTGTTGTTAAATATACTGTAAGCCATAGAACTTGAAGTACGTTTTACAATAGAGGCAGGACAGTGCTGGTCTGGTGCTGAGGTGTTAAATGAACCACAACCAAAACTGGTAATGGAAACTGCACCCCGCAGAGCGATGTCCATAGGGCGAAAATACAATTTGCCTATCTACTCATTGGTAGAGGATGCGGAGTGCTGCTAGCAGGACTTTGAGTGCTTCCGGGAGGACGCAACTTTTTTATTACACATTTGTAATATTATGAAGTATAAGATTCAAAGTTATATTAAAACTCAGGATAGTTCTGTATTTTTCATACGAAATGTTTGTTCATTCGTCTAAGATATATGTATTCAACCCGCCATAGAGCCAACTAGATGTAACACGTCCTATACCACCTCTTTACAAGAAATCTAGGTCCAGAAGTGCGACTTATGTGAGCTAATGATTTAATCAAATGTTTACTACTCCTGTACCTGACTGAATTTATGAATTTGACTGTCTGACTATCAAGTCCGAGTACACTCAAATTCACCATACTGCTAACAAGTTTAAATTTTCATACTAAATTCCAGCAGACTTGCTGTCAAAAGAATATTTTGAACATAAAACTCAAACTTCCGTCCTCATCTTTTCAATAGAACACACAGTTTGACAATCATACTACGCATATGATTTTATATGTTAGATATATATGTTTAGATATATATAAATGATTTTATGTCAAAATACATCAACAAAACAAAAATAACTTTTAGAAAAACCGACCTTCAAAATTTGAGGAATTATTTGTCAAATTTTATTGATATTTTTTTTAATTTTTTTTAGGTTAACGGAAAAAAGGTGAAATCCAAAAAAATTGTTGGATAGGAGAAGAATATTTTTTTTAAATTTGAATGGGACCAGGACGGGCGTATGTCCAATTTCCAAAAAAGATTCATCGAAATTTGACCGACTTTAAAAAAGGAGGAGGTTCTCAATTCTACTTTTTTGTGCATATTTTACGCGATTAGGTACTCCGACATTCGTGAAACCAATTTCGATGATTCATTTTTGTTGGAAAGAAGGAAGTTGTCACTCATGAAAACTTATTTTTAAGTATTTATTTATTTATTAATTTACTTATTTTTTTTAAGTATTTTAATAACCGGCAATCTATCTCACCACCGCTCCACATGTCTTGCAACCCTGACATTGGCAAAATCGTCGCGCAAAACGACGGAGCCATAGACACAAAAGTTGAAGTTGAAGGAGCAATTAGTTAAAGGTTGATTTTGCTATGCTCCAATTGAAGGCATTTTCCTCTCAATATACTTTAAGCAGTGAGCACCGATTTTTATTATCTCCTGTGTAAAGTCCCGTACATGGTCCTAAACCGAAGACGGATTTTGTCTACCTGGATTCAAGGACATATAAGCTTCAAATCAAGAAAATAAGTGAACTTAGCTGCTACTCTTTAAGATTGTGAATGTAGGCTGGTGAAGGTATGCATAGCTTTTTATATGTTTCACAACAAACGATATCCTCATTTAACTGCCTGGTGATTTGACAAGCAATAATTATTTATCAGCATTGCGCAGATTCATTGCTCATAGTGGCAAAACCAAAATCATGTATTCCGACCATATCTCTATCTATCATTTGTTGGTGCTTACGATCTTTCAAAATTTTTAAAAATGCTGGTGTAAAGTCGACCAAACATCATTTACAAAAAGTGTTGGGGAATTGTAACTTAACTTTTAGAAAAGAGAGCTTTATACAGCACATGTCCAAATTGAAGCGATCCTCAATTCACGACCACTTACCCCTCACTCAAGCGATCCAGAAGACCAAATGCCGTTGACACCACGACATTTCGTCATCGGTATACCGCTCACTACCTTGCCAAAACAGGATTATCAAGATGTGCCACACAATTGCTTGAATCGTTTCCAGCAAATTGAAAAACTTCTAGAAAATTTTTGGTGCAGATAGAGCAAAGAATATGCCCCAGAGCTTCAATTGAGGATTAAATTGCGTACTTGTAAAGACGCATTGAAGATAAACGCTCTAGTAATTCTAAAGTCAATCTACCACATTTCCAATAAAAATTGGGTCGAGTTTTAGCTGTGTTTCCTGGCACTGAAGGCGACAATAGAGTGGCCTATATCAAAACTTTTACAGGAATTGTAAGAAGATCCTTTTCAAAAATTTATCCACTTCCTGAAGCAAGTATTAACGGTTGAAAGGCAAGCTTTCAAAGGCTGGCGGAATGTTCACGCATGAAGACTTATTTTTATAAATAGCGCCTAAACTTTATAAGGAGCAATTATTTTAATGAATGATTTTGCCGTGCTCCAATCGTAGACGTTTTTCTCTCAATATACTTTAAGCAGTGAGCACCGATTTGTATTATCTCCCGTGTTAAGTCCCGTACAGTGGCGAACTAGGAAATGAATCCGATTTTGCACTTTCCGGTAACCGATTCCAATAAAACTTGGCAAATAGATTCCACGAACTTTTGAGGTCTGATTTCTTAGTACTCTGTACTGAGATTATGTTTGTTGTAAATGTTGGGCACTACACTGTATATTGTATACTGTAATCACTGTACACATGCATCAAATTCATTATTTAAATATTCTATACATAAATAGGAGAATACAACATACTACATTACTGAAATATTTACGTAATTTAAGTTTACGTTTATTTAAGTTTACCCGTATATTTGCGACACACACGCCCGGCACTTACTTGGTTTTAGGGTCCACTGAAAATGAGCGTCACAGCCTTTTCTCAGAGGTGACAATAGCTGAGTGGATCCTTTTACATACGCCACAGCCGCACACGTGACATTCACTCTAATTGTGTTGAATGTTTAATTATTGCTTTGGTGTTGTGTATGATTTTGTTAGTATTTCTTATTTTTAGTTATTTTATTTCAATTTTTTGTTTTAATTTAGCATTATCTTTTTTTTAGTTTCTTACTGTGTATTTTTGTGTTGTGGCGTACGTAGTAATAAATGATTTCTATCCTATTATTTTCTATTATATTTGAATAAACCCTCGATTTATTTGACATTGGGTATCAATAAAGATATCCCTATACATTGTGATGGAAATACAAAAGTAAAAATTTCTAAACAAAGTTTAAATTATCGAGTTCTTAGGTTTTCGCGATTATTGCACATAGGAAATGAAACTATAAACGGATTTAAATCGCGCATATTTGTTTTTTCAAACAAACCAACGTTTCAGGCCATTTACAGGTCCCTCAAACAGGAGGTAAGATCCAATTTACTATGGAACATCGAGTATAAATATACTCGATGCTATGGAACAAGATAATTGTGGTACTTCAGCGTTCTTAGATGTTTTAATTAAAAGAATCCTAATAACACCTTAGACCATACTGTATTTCGAAAGAAAACCCACACGGATAGGTACCTCAATGGTAATTCACATCACCATCCTAGCCAGTTAGCAATCGTGGGCAAGTCTTTGTTTTAGAGAGCACATGCGACAGTAATCATCTGGCAGTGGAACTTCAGCATATAAAGCAAGTCCTACATGCGAATAACTTGAAGATTCCACGCCAATGCCACAGGCGCCGTGTGAAACCACCAACAGTCGAGCGAAGTCCTGCCATTTTGCCTTACGTGAGAGGTGTTACAGACAAGATCGGAAGAGTCCTCAGTCCTGCAGTCTGCAAGCATGTCGTGGATAAACCTACACATTCAATGTAGTTTGACAAACCCCGGTCCTTGCAAAAGAAGTCCGTTATCTACCCAGGATGCTGCGAGAGGCCATTGAAATTAAAAACCATCCTAATTTCAACAGGGAAGATGGTTTCTTCGTACCACCAGTTTGGGATCCAGTATTTCCTCTGATGAAAAATCCCGAACAGACTAAAGACTACAGTACTAATTAATACGTTGTAATTTATTCTAATTTTCATTATTAATTAATAATATACTTAACTTAATAAAAATTCACATTGTTAAAATAAAATAATTTGTAAAACATAATGTAGCATAAATTGGAATATTTCTTTGTAAATTTAAAAATAAGATATTTAATTAAAAACTTTTGTAACTATAGTGAAAAAATAGGGTGGTTTGCATTAATATTAAACATCAGTTAGTCAACCGTGACCATGGGACCTCTAAAAAGGGCCCGAAACGTTGGTTTGTCTGAAAAACCAAATATACGCGATTTAATTCCAGAAAAATAGTTTCTTTTCCTAAAATTTTTATTACCTTTGTGGGTTTAGGTTTACCAGCAAACCTTGCAGCAGTCAGAAGTAGTATGTCAGGGAATGGTTTAGGGCGAGAAACCTCGGAGTCTGAAGAACATACCTGAAAATTTACAACCTGAGTGTTAATAGGAACTACCAGTGTCAACTTAGAAATCGAATACTATTAATTAACATTAATATGGATGCCATAGTGGCCATGAATTTATTTCGCTGCCTTTTTTGTTTGTTGGTGTTTGTTTCATTACAGCCCTCATAGACCATAACCAGGTACTTATTACTTTGAAGTTTTGTTTTTTCAGAAGAATGGGATTATTTTTATTTATATTTAATAATTAGTACTGATACATAACGGAGCCTGCATTGCCCTCCGGAGCCTGCATTGCACGGCCTCACTCGTCTGGGGGGCGGGTCGGAGGACAACCGACTCGCCCCTCCGTTGTTGGCGCGGGAACCCTGGCGTAAGCTAGGGCGGCCGGGCGGCGTCGTGGTGAATGTTCACTGATCCCACGGCGCCGACTCAACCGGCGAGAGGGAAACCCGGGGG